GCTAGCATTCATTGGAGATTGATAGTTTGTTGAAAGAAATTCATTAGAATATGAAAAAATAATTAAGAAAATTTGTTTTTTATATACATATGATGTGTAAGTTACTGAGAAAAAGATTTTTTAAAATGAATATCCATCATACTAGATGACACTAGTAGTTGATTAGAAAGTGGTCAAAATTTGTCTAATAATGACCAATTATATACTATCAATTAAAATTCTAGATCGATATCAGACAAGTAAGAGCTGTAAAACATAGACAAACTTTGGGACATATTGACATGTTATAGCTGTTTGAGTTCTACGAAGTATGAGAATCTCCAAAAAAAATTCATATCACGGCTTATTTATATGTACGCTTTTTCTAACGGAACATATACATAGAAAATGTTCATAAAATCAAACTTTTGATTCATTTTCGCAGAGTACTCACACCGGCACCCTTACTTAAAATATGGAAAATAGCACATTCATGTACTGTATTATATAATTTGGATATACTAAAAGGATTTATCTTCTTTCAACAAATTTCACATTTTATATTGTTTACCGTAAATCTAAAATGGTATATGATTGAAATCAAGATATATTTTATTTTCAAGTACTTATAGTTAGTAAACCTGATGAGACTAATTACAAGTCATTGTTTGTTTGCATTGAATATTTCTCGCTTAATATTTAGTTTTAATCTGAAATCAACATGGTGTTGGCTCAAATGGAAAACATTTTTCTAGATCAAATCCATTGGTAATATGTAATATGTAGAATAGACTACATTTGATTCAAAGATCCTCTTCAAAGACTAATTTAAATATTAGTTTATAAATCAGTAAGAAACTATCTTCTAAACTTATTATTAAAAATGAATCTCTTTTGCTGATTAATTAAGAAGAAGAAAGAGAAATTTTTCTTTTTCATATCTGCATGTCATATGAGTTATTCACATCATTTTGTCAAAGTTATTTTATATTAACTGAATTACAATCAAACAACTATCGACAAGATTATCGAAACAGATTAATCTACACATATTGTAATGTAGTGTCGATATTTGCTAATCCATATTTTGAATATATACCATTTCATTAGAAGTTATATCCACATTTTGTTTAACTAAAACCTTTCTTGTCACAAATTCTAAAGTGTAGTATGTATTGTAATTATTCAAAGATTTAAATTCTTTATAGTTATAAATGTATTATACATCGTTTATTTATCATAATCTGCTTCACTTTTAATAATTCAAATATATAACAACAAAAAAACGATTTTATTAATTGAAGTTAGTCAAGTATTTCATGATGTAATGAATGCTAAATAATTATGTTGTATTTTTCAAGTATTAATTCTCTTATATTCATCGTATATGATCGTATGATAAACGTATAATATTTCTATAGTTATGTATCGATAGATATCTAAATAAATCTAGATCGAACTATTAAAAACTTTTTAAAATCTCATAACAATTAAGTTTAATCAATTTTGTAATTTCCGCTGTACTATTTTGCTTTTCTCTTTCTAAATTAATTCGTCTTTATCATTTTTACTTTTTTTTATTTTCAATATTTAATCTTCTTCAAGTTTACTGTATACCTTACAACACTCAATCAACACATAATTGAATGCATATACCTTCGCAAAAATCCCTCCTTATTAATGACACTATTCATCTATCTAACAAAATTCCAATGATATTCAAAAATAACGAAAATGTAATACTATCATAACGTAATATTTCATCAAACTTAATAATCACAGAACACAAATTCTTTTCGTCATATTCTATTTTGTATATTATATATTATTTTCGACAACCTACAATAAAAGATGTTATAGTGTATAACAATCCTATTTATGCAGACTGATTGCCATCGTCAAAATAGTTGTTTTTTAATAGAACTAAATCGAATAATGAACTGTAGAATGATATCATGAACTTTTTCTAAGAACAAAACCATATTGATTATCTCGTATTGAAAACAGGTTTATTATCGTTTAATTTTATCATATTTCGATGTAATGATTACGTTCTAAATAAATGTCAGCACATGATGATAACGAAAATTTGATCGGATTTTATTTTTCTAAAATTATTCTTTTTTTCAAATGAATTGCATGTGGCGCTTGTTATCTTTTTGTTTTATAATATCGACAGATATACCCAATAGTTGTTTTATTTTTGTACTAATGATCGAAAAAGCTGATAATCAACATCAACAATTATTTTTATTAAAAGGACAAACTATTGTTACTCCACCAGAAGCATAGTCAATGAAAATGTTAATAATCCTGATTCAGGTATAAGTACAAATGATAGTGAAGTTGAAATACTTATTCGTGGTCGTAAGCTGAATAATATTAATATAAAAGTAAAATTTCATTTTTTTCGTATTATATAGAAAATCGTTGACGATATAACAAAACAACATTATCGACTATATTTGATCATAATGAAGAAAAGTAATATATTGTAGTATGTCAAGTTTTTATTCCTTTTATGACAGCACGATTTGGTATGGTAGCTGTTGGATTAGTTCTTGAACATGTTAAGGTATCGATTAATATTATAAATCTATGTTTTTTTTATAGTATTTCTATTTAGAAATTAAATGTATTTAAAGAAATAACTGAAATTTATATACTTGTTCCAGCTTTAATTGGTTTAAAACGAAATTTAGAAATGATATTAGCATCACGTTTACCTACACATATATGTAATTAAAGTTTATTTTGAAAACATTCCATATAAACTTCTATAATTTTAGGATAATATTGGAAATATAATTTTAACACAATTACAAGCTATTGTTGTTGGTTTTCTTGCTGCTCTTGTATGACTTGTGATGAGATGGGTACCTCAAGGACATTTTAATTTGCGGCAAGCACTTGTTTTATGTAGTAGTAGTGTTTCAACAGCATCAATTACTTTCTTAGCATTAGGTTTGTACTCAATCTTTTGAAATATTTCACATTTTGCTGCGTATAGGATCAAATAAACAATTTATTCTAAAAGATAATAGAGATAGCATCGTCAATACATTTTATTTAATATTTTATAACTGTCTCTTCGTTATCTTGCTGACTTCTCTTTCTCACACTCAATTAATTGTTTTTTTCCTTAAGATAGAATCATGATTTTTATTATTATCATGTGAATTTTTATTTTGAATTATTGGTAAGATCATGTATAGATTCAGAATTTACATACTAAATTATATATTATTCAGATAATTATACATGGTTACCTTTAATGATTAAGAATATTTTTTTTAGTTGTAACAACAGTTTGGATTCTTAACTCCTCTCAAAATGAATAGGTTGAAGATGTACTTGTACATGGATGGTAAATTGAATGATTTGTAAAAAAAATATTTTACTATAAAAAAATTAACACAATACTTCAGCCTATTGTGAATGGTAATTATTTATTTATTATGAAATAGGAATTGCCAATAAATGTTATTATCTTTAGGTGTAGGTGGTAATTTAGTCGCTGTTCAAGCAAGTCGATTATCTACTATACTTCATCAACAATGCAAACCAGGAGAATTTCAAGGTATTACACAATATTAGGCTTCAAAAATTTGTCCTAATTCATACAGAATATTTTGTTCAACAAGTATATTGTTGATCTTGTTGATTGAATTTTCAATTATTTTGTATTTATTTTTCAGAAATTAATTCATGAACAACACGTGTTTTATTATATCATGATTAGCAATAGATCAAACTCGACTTTCAATTGTTTTCGTCTTTCCTTCTCTTATAGCAGTACTTATTCAAGTAGAATTATTTTATTATTTTTACAAAAATAAATCAAGGTTATTTCATTTTTTAATAGGTTGCTATTCTTCTATATATTGTTCAGTGGATGGTAATATTTGTATGGAGACATGAACGAGATCCCGAGAATGTATACATTCCAAATTTAACAGTAATGGAAGATCTACTTGATGATACTCTTTTAATTTGCGTCTTTTTTTATTATTGTAATATTTATTTTTTTGTTTATTCTTATCTCGATGTATATGTCAAAAGAAGAAAAAGGTCTGGTTATTGTTATTTGATATTATTCGTTTTTGTTTAATGAAGTGTGACGAATTATTTTTTTTTTATAATATCATTGTCGTAGTATCTAGTTTGAATTATGAAGCAACGAATATACTGTTTATGTTAAATAGTTGAGAGAAAACTAACTGAAGAATTTTTTTTCATTTTATTTCGATCGAATGATCTTGAATCATAGTTTGAACCAATACTGAAATAAAATTTTGCAAAATATAAATAATCTGTTCTTTTCTGTCGATCATAAATTACTCAGATTTTAATCTGTTTGCGTACTAATCTATATTAACAGTAAAATCTTGTTCTTAGAATTTGTATAATTCTTATAATATTTATTTATATGTTCTATCAACATTGTATCTTTATTTTCTTTTGAAAAACATATAATGACATCTGAAGAAAGGCTTTTCTGATTATTTAGATTCGATATACTGACGAATTTTTTTTTCTTAGATTGATTATTTTTATTCTTATCTATCGTTTGATTGAAGAAATACATCTTAGTACAGAAAATATATCATTGATCATCACTTGTATCAAATAGAAATCTAAGAAAGAGAACGGACAACTGAATTTTTATCATAAAGATCAAATACATATATGTAAATAATTACTTAATCGTAAAGAATAGAAAGCATAATGATTATTCTTCTTTTTTTATTTCCTATTAACTTTAACTTCAATAATAGATGTTGGTATGTGTAATATTCATTTTATTAAACAGAAAATAAAAAAACAAACTTATTTTATTATTATCTATTTCTTGTTATCAATGCTCGTCAGTTAATGGTAGTAATCTATTATGCGAAAATCTCTTTTAGGGTGATATAGAAAGTAAAACTTCATACCTTCAAACTCCATGTTTAGCTAATTTACGTGGACGTCAAAGTCTTTCTCATGCAATTCATTGTATTAAATTAATTACTTATTCACCAAGTATAATAAATTCTTATTTACATTTCAAAAGTTTCTAAACTTTTCTTTTGTTTGATCATTATTAGACAAATAAATTTTTATTTTATTTATCATAATATACAATCAAATAGACAAGCATGTGCGTTTGCCTGTATGTGGTGTGCAGTCACGCATCATTGCCTGTTTTTTTTCTTCCTATCTTAACAAAATATGATTCATCACTATATACGAACTAAAAAAATAAACTGCGTATACCTATATTCGTCTATAGATATAAAAAATCCCTCTCTTTGAGTCATTATATACGAACGAAAAAATAAACTGCGTATGTATATATCTATCATTACATACTCAAAAATACCGTCTTTTGACTCATTGCATACGAAATAAAAAATAAAATGCGTATACCTATATCCACCTGCACATATGAAAAATCTCTCTCTCTGAGTCATTATATACGAGTTAAAAAATAAAGT